CCTCGACCTATGTCTCCGCTCCTCACCCTCTAGGAGATTCTTTACTATCAAGACAAAAAGCTACACAATTTGGTTTTTTCAAAGCTCACCGAAAACTTTTACAATCACACATTGTCAATCCCACAAGACACTCCTCTAAGTGTTGGTCTACCAGTGTTATCTTTCTCAAATGCTTAGAATTACTACCTCTCCCTAGGCTTTTACAACCAAGCTACCCCTCTTGGAATTGACCCCGTCACTACCAACCACTCCTCAAAGTGTCAATGTGTATTACAACATGTTCTCAATAATGAAGTGCAAATAACAACATTTGTTCTCTAATACAAATTGAGAACGAAATTGAAAGCTCACTCAACAATCACACTCACAACCCAATAATACTATATGTGAAATACTTAAGCTCAATGGTTGTGTGTGAAATAATAAGTAAAACAAATTAAACTCAAATCAATTTAGCATGAATATATGAGAAGCAAAATAATAAAAAGCTAGATGAAGAGTTTTAAAAACTTCTCCAAACAAGAGATAAAGATGTTGAGGATGGAAGCCTCAAACTCGAAATTGAATTCCTTCTCTTCTGAAGAACTCTTCACATAAACGAATTTTTTGATCTTCAAAATTTTGAAACAAACAGTCCAAAAACCCTTGAAAAACTTATAAAACCTTTTTCTAAACTTCCATGAGTGAAACAAATGGGTTATGAGGCATATATCTAGCCTATACAACCAAAAAATCCCAAAACTAGTCGTTATTGTGCTTCTAACCGTTGATCGGTTGACTGATAAACAGTATTGGTCGACCGATGCACTGTTCACAGAGTACTATTCACAGAAACATGAAACCTAAAAATCTAATTTTGTAAAATCAATTAAAAATAACAAATTAACTCAAAAAATAGTAAAACTTGGAGAAATATTTATATACATGAAAATAAATATGTTAAAGAAGAAAATTTTGAAATATCATTTCCCATTTGTAAAAGCTCATCTGTTTTGTAAAAACAGCATGAAACCTGAAAAGCTGATTTTCTAAATTCAATTAAAAATAACAAATTAACTCCAAAATTAGTAAACTTTTGGAGAATATTTATAAACATGAATATAAATGTGTTAGAGAAAGAATTTATAAAATATCACTTCTCATTTGTGATAAATTATTATTTTAAAATAGATATTCTAGATTCTGAAAAACTGCTGAAAACTTCTTTTTGTAAATTCAATTTAAAATAACAAAACAACTCCAAAATTAATAAAACTTAGGAAAATGTTTGTATATATGATGATGAACATATTAGAGAAGAGAATTTTCAAATTGCATTTCCCAATTGTGAAAACTCATGTATTTTGCAAACTACTCAAAATATGAAATCTCTTAACACTTGTTTTTTGATGAAATTCTTTCAAGCAAACTTTGAGATTCTTTTTAATAGATTTATAGAACTTTATAAAAGATCTAAAACTATATCATAAAGTCAATAAAACAAGATTGAGTTATTTTTTCAAAGAAGCGTATAAAAAGCTACGCAAAATTTCAGAATCTGCCAACTCAGCGAACGGTCACACTATCAGTCAACGGTCACATTATTTTCTCAAAGTCACCTACACAAAATTTTAGAATCTGCCAACTCAGCCAATGACCATATTACAAAATTTCTTTTTTAACATGTTTATTTTCATGTATATAAACATTTCTCCAAGTTTTATTATTTTTGGAGTTGATTTGTTATATTTAATTGATTTTACAAAATCAAAATTTTAGGTTTCATGTTTCTGTGAATAGTGCTCTATGAACAGCGCATCAGTCGACGGTCAGAAGCATAATAACGGCTAGTTTTAGGATATTTTGGCTGTAGAGGCTATATATGCCGCATAACGCATTTGTTTTACTCATGAAAGTTTAGAAAAAGGTTTTGCAAGTTTTTCAAGGGTTTTTGGGCTGTTCGTTTCAAGTTTTTAAAGATCAAAAATTCGTTTATATGAAGAGGTCTTCATAAGAGAAAGAATTCAATTTTGAGTATGAGGCTTTCATCCTCAACATCTTCATCTCTTGTTTGGAGAAGTTTTCTAAACTCTTCATCTAGTTTTTTATTATTTTGCTTCTCATATATTCATGCTAGATTGATTTGAGTTTAATTTGTTTTACTTATTGTTTCACACACAACCATTGAGAAGTATTTTACATATAATATTATTGGGTTGTGAGTATGATTGTTGAGTGAGCTTCCAATTTCGTTCTCAATTTGTATTAGAGAACAAATCTTGTTATTTGCACTTCATTATTGAGAACATGTTGTAATACACATTGACATTTAGAAAAGTGGTTGGTAGTGACGATGCCAATTCCAAGAGGAGTGGCTTGGTTGTAAAAACGTAGGGAGATGTAATAATTCCAAGTATTTGAGAAAGGTGACACGGGTAGACCAACACTTAGAGGAGTGCCATGTGGGATTGACAACGTGTGATTGTAAAAGTTTTCGGTGAGCTTTGAAAAACTAAATTGTGTATCTTTACGTTGATAGTGGAGAATCTCCTCAAGGGTGAGGAGCGGAGACATAGGTCGAGAGTGAGTGAACTCCGTGAACATATTCTTGAGTTTATGTTTGGTATTGGCGCACTTCTTCTTCTTGTGTATATTTCCATATCGCCTATTGATTATTTGTTTATCCTTGCATATATCTTATTGTATATCACATTTACTAGGATATTGTTAATAAGATTTAATTTGACATCTAAATCGGATTAGATTAGTAATTACCCTATTCACCCCCTCTAGGGTGGTTTAATTTGGTATCAAAGCTTGGTGCCCTTGATTTGTGGCTTAATCGCCTAGAGTAAAAGATCCAAATTTTTATATCTTGCTAATCTAGTTTTGTTTTTTTGCTTGCATATTTATCATGGACATGTACGATGTACCTAGTTTAGGCTATGCTATTGATATTGCTCCTCGTTTTAATAATTTCTCTTATACTCAATGGTGTTTTAGTTTTAAACCATTTGTTAGATCTAAAAATATCGAATTGTGGGAAGTTATTGATTGTGCTTAAGTTGTGCCCACTTTGGAGAAATCCAAGTGGAGCAATTATGATAAGAAGATGTTTACCATGAACAAGTTAGTGTTAGAATTTATACTTAATGATTTTGATTCATCTACTTCTAACAAACTTGCTTCTTTTAATAGTGCCTATTTATTGTGGAAATATATAGAGGCACATCAAGGCAACTTGGAGGAAATCCGTTGTGTTCCGGAGGATTCCACTTCAAGTACGAATGGAGTTTCATCGTGCACATGGCCACTTGGCGATAGCCCTAGTAGGGTATTATGTCATAGTACTCTTGCAACACCAAATAGAGAATTTAAAATAGCTTAGGAATGGAGCTAAGAGTTAAGCAAGAATTAAACATAGTTGAAGAACGTGATAAGAGTGACAATGGGTGTTTATCATTAGCAGCTACTTTCTCAATAAAACCAAAGAGAGCAGCTAAAAACAAATCAATTTTAATAATCCTAATTTTTTTATCACACACACATGCTTTCTTTTTTTTTGTAATAAGTGAAGGTGAAAATCTTTTTTAAGAGGGTATTTAGTAATGACCCATTGGATATGGTCATTTGGTCGGACTATTAAAATCATCACTAGGGCCTATTGCGAAGTTGGCTGTATTGAAAGCCACCCATCGATGGCTCATATTGAGCCACAAATTGCCAGACCCCCTCTGTCGACTAAAGAGTCTGAACACACTGATGTGTCCTACATGATTTGGACACGTTTCCGAGTCCTGTTTGGATTCGAATTGGGGAGTTTGTTTGGCTAGTTGAACTCCTATTTGGATTCAAATTGAGAAGTTGTTTGGCTAGTTAGACTCGAATTTAAGGGATCGAGACTATGAATAAAGATTGCCTAGGGTTTCTCTATGTACGTATCTTTTACAAGAAAAAATAATATTTATTTTGGCTTTGTAAGGGGGAGAGATTAGGGTTTCTAATCTTCTCCGTCTTCGTTGTAACCTCTTGATAAATAGTGGATTGTCGATCTCGCTGGTTGTGAACGTAGGCATCTTGCCAAACCATGATCAATCCTTGTCTTTTCTTTATGAGGTGGTTGCACATCCGTGTTTGTCAGTACACCTATCACCTAACAAGTAGAAAGTCATACAAGACTAGAGCTTGTCCATATATCGGTCTTCGAGCCTTCAAATTGCCAGGCCATTTTGACAGGGAACAAAAATAATTCCAAATCAATCTTTTCTTTTTCTTCCTTGTTTTCGCTTGATGTAGGGTTTTTGGAGAACCCAAACTTCTTGACCATGACTTAGTGCATACAAAAGAAGGTGGCTCAAGAGGTAAGGGTCTTTCAATTGACATCAGAGCTAAACTTATGCTTCTCAGCTGGCAATGAGTGTTTGCTCAGACTAGTCTAATGCAAACCCAAAATAGTGACACCAATACTAAAGTACTTGATCAAGCGAATTATGAGGGGTCAACTCAGTTTAAAGCCTGTACAATTATTTTATGTTTGGTAGGTTAGGAAGAGTTTAACTCTCCTCAACCATTTTCTTAACCCTTTGCCAAACAGAGAATAAAAGCAATGTGTAATGAATCTGGTGCTACATTTAAGGGAGTGCTTTTAAAAGCAACTGAGAATTTTATTAAAATGGCTTTTGTTTTTTATTTAATACCATATATACCATTAAACTTTCGACATTAATATTTTATCTATTCTGAAATTATTTTTTTAGTATGTAAATTTATAGTTTTCATTTTATTTCAATAGCTAAAGTTATGTTTATTTTCAAAAGTAGCTTGTAATATATAATTACTAAGCCACTGCTTTCAGCAACTTGTGCATAGCAATACAAAACTAGCCCTACATAGGGGTTCGTATGAAATAATCCAAAGGTTTGGGGGTTTAATAAACTTTACCCCGAGAAAAAGAACATGATACCGGATCTTATTTAAACTTTACCCGCTAACCCATTACCCAAAGCTTCAATTCTCTCCCCTCTCTCTCTCTCTCTCTCTCTCAATATCTCAAAAAAACGATACGAAGGAAAACGCAGATCTAGGGCACACCCCAGCGCCGCCGAGAACTCCGCCGGCGACGATAAAACTCCGGCGAACTCCACCGCGCCGCCTCTCCTTCTTTCTCTCGCTCTAATAAAGGTTCAAATTTTCTTGTTTTTTCTTATCTTTTATCGAACGCCTAAGAAAATAGCACTGTGGAAATGTCAAAAATTCTGAGAATTTTGGCAAAAATGAGACCGATTCACTTATTATTCTTACTGATTTGATGTGAGGATGGATCGTATTAAAATTATTTTGAATAACGAAGATGTGATGTTCGCAAGCGATGATAAGCGTTGATCAAACTATATTTTGGACGAATAAAAATTTGATTATTAAAATTCAGTAAATGAATAAGTATCAATCAAACTATATAGTCCATCTAAGTAAGCAAAAACAGATAGATGATGTATACCTTGATTGGAAATTTGGAAGGGGAAATGTTCCTTCAAATTTTGACGAAGAACAATTTATAATTGAATATTCTCCTTATAATCACCAGATGAGTAGAATGCTTTTGAGCCGTCAAGCCGGAGCAATTGATGATTGGATAAAACCTTAGTTTATATTCAATTGTCGCATGTTTCATACATTTGACGAATATCCCCAAGAGCTTAATTGTAGCTCATTGGCTACCCCTTTGCTAAGTCATAATAGGAAGTGGTCTCATTTCTCGCATGAGATCGAATGGCTTGCATGAGCTCACATTACCAGAACCCTAGTCCTAGCCCTTACTGAATTCATGCGTTGGTCCCGGACCAGATCGGTCCAAGCCTAACCACCCATCGACAAGCGGATCAGGTTTGAGTTCAGCTACATCCGTGACTAATGCTGAAATGCATTTGGGTCAACATGTAGCAATTTTCTTGGTTTCTTTGTTGGCATCAAGTGCACATTTAATTAATTATCTCTTGAAATGTTCCATTGAAACATGCACACATTATTTATAGTCATTATATTTGTATGGAAAGACACTAATTCATTGACATGACATGTTGCTAAGGCATAAGTGGACTACTAATGACTATGTTTATGTCTATAAAATGCTTGGATATTTAATACTCATAGTTGCATAACGGAAACAGTGCAGCTTTGTTGGTATGGCAAGTTATTCTGGCAGAGGAGGCCCTGCAAATGGCTCTGTTTACGTATGTAACTTGCCTTCTGGAACTGATGAGGATATGCTTGCTGAGTATTTTGGCACCATTGGGTTGCTAAAGGTATGGGTCTCACCAGGTATCATTTGAGATCCATCAGTACAATTCCTCTATATTTGTATTTGTAATGCTTAATTGTGACAGCTTATGAACCTCTAGTATGCTTTCATTGCAGAAGGACAAGCGAACTGGGCGGCCAAAGATTTGGTTATACAGAGACAAGGCGACTGATGAACCCAAAGGCGACGCAACAGTTACATATGATGATCCACATGCTGCTCTGGCTGCTGTGGAGTGGTTCAACAACAAGGATTTCCATGGAAGCACAATTGGAGTATATATAGCAGAGTCAAAGACCCAAAGTTCATGTGACCAGTCATATGATCAACAGCTTAACCATCCTGCAGATCCAAGCATAGTCGGTGACTTGGGCATGCAGGATGATATCAATGGTGGTGGAGGTAGAGGTAGAGGACGAGGTGATGCTTCAGCAAAAGCATGGCAACAAGATGGAGATTGGTCGTGTCCAAATACAAGGTCTGTGTTATGATATTGGTGAGCAACTCTTTCTGGCTCTTGATGACGCTTATATAGTCAATTGCATTGGTTAATAAGGGTTAATTTCACATAACCCCCTTGAACTTTGGGGCTTTTTGACATAAGCCCCCCCGAACCTTGTTTATCTTACATCACCCCCTTGAAATTTTGGTGCCCGCTGAACTTTAACCTTATCTCACTGGAAACCCTGCCTGTAACTAAAATGTACTTGAGAGAAAAATTTCCATAATTTGTCATTTACTGGCAATGTACCCCTTCCCCTAAAATTTAGGGTTTCTCTTGAGGAGATTCTATTTTATTGCAAAGTACTTTTTTTTCCTTTTTTTTGGGGGCGGGGTTTCCTGTGAGAAAATTTCTAACTTCAGGGGGGTTATGTGAAGCCCCCCCACCCCAAAGAAAAAGTTCAGGGGGTTTTGTGAAATTATTTAGGCATGCAGCCTGTTTCTCATTCTCTTTTATCCTTGCAGTTGCACAAATGTAAACTTTGCTTTTCGTGGTGTGTGTAATCGTTGTGGAACTGCTCGCCCTACTGGCTTTGGTGGAACAGGAGTTGGAACTGCTGGTCGAGGCAGGGGCCGCGGTAGCGCCGATGCTGGTGGACGTGGTCGACCAGCTGGTGGCCCTACAGGGGGCCTTTTTGGTCCCAATGACTGGGCTTGTCCGATGTAAGGGTTTGCTGCCTCTGATATTTTTGATTCAGCAAATTATTGGTTCATGCCAAGATCTAGTATTGGTGATGATAAGAAGGAATATAATACTGATGAATAAAAAATTAACATCAGTTAATGGTACATATGGTTTCTTTACATTTAGTTGATCCTGTTTCCTTCAGTATTGTTTCCCTGAGCTAATCAGGCGCTCTAGTTACTTGCATGATCCTTGTTGATGATTTGACAGAAGCATTTGTTTGTCTATGTTAAATGTGCTGAATATTTGATGCTTCATTAAAACTCATGGCACTATTTTGAACATTATGGCGCAAGTATTGTCTGCCTAGTGCCATAGGGTGAGGCAGCCATTTCCCCAATTTACGCACACCCTGTTAAGTGATTCGCTTGTTTCTGGTGGGCATTATGGACGATGAATATATGTCAAATTGTTAGCTTTAACGGATTAATTACTGGAACCCAATATAAATAAACCCTCTTTCTCTTGTCCTAATTTTGGAATTTGGATATCTGCTTCTGCATTGTCATCTCAAGTAAAATAAATATCTTTATATCCTCGCCTGTTTAAACTTTTCTGCAATATTACCTGCTCTCTGCCGTTTGGATTACACTGTCCACCAACATGTTTCTCATGAATGGTGTAACATATGAGACCTTGTTTCAGATGTGACCTCTCTATTTAGTATAATCAATGATTCTACTTGTTCCAATGTGCTCAAAGTTTCTCTATTTTACTAAATACAACAACAATAGAAGAAGCAGATGGATTGATGCTCATAGATATAATTGTGGATGCATATTCTGCTTTCTTTTGTTGTGAACAATGAACAACAGCACAATACATGGTACAGGGGTTGTTACATTGAGCGATTTTTTATTGCAATTTTCTTTAACTCATTACTTGTATGTTGTGGGCTATAGGTACCTGAATGGAGGGTTACATACCCCTAAAGTGTATGCTTGTGGCACCTCTTTCTGTATGCTAGTATCTAGAAAACTGTTATCCACAGTTTGACCAAGAATCACATATGCTCACTGTTTGATATCACTGACATTTTTCCCCTTTAGGAGGACGATAACCTAGTGGATATCAAATGACTCTTGTTATATCATCCATTACTAAGTGGCCTGACAAGCTAATGGGTTGTTTCAGGTGTGCCAACATCAACTGGGCAAAGCGCCTAAAGTGCAATATTTGCAACACCAATAAGCCTGGCCATAATGAGGGTGGTGTGAGGTAATATCCCAATCAATTGTGTCTTTGAAGTACTAGTAGACACTAGACAGGACTCTTTTAAACGATTATAATGTTTGACGAGTTTACTCGTAAGTACCTTTCTGTGCTGTATGTTCTCAAACACTTGTGACGATCACAAGGTTGCTTCTATGAGTTTATCAAATACCGGGGGATTGTTTTGGTTTCTAATAATGATTATTTTTTGTTACTGGGGATATACACGTGTACATATGTTGAAAATGAAAGGAAAAATGAGCCAAGGAGCCATGTAAAAATATATTGGGTACATTAACATTACTAAATATTTCAGTTAACATTGTAATATCTCATTGTAATAAGACAGCAGAAATGTTTTTTTTGTTTTGTTTTGTTTTGTTGTTGTATACCTCACATGACAGAGACATAAAATCCTTTCCTGGCATCTCACTTGGCTAAGAACTAGAAAACCTTCTCAATGCCTGGGTCTCTCAGATCAGAAGGAGCATACCCACAAGTACAGTGTTTATATAATACTCCCTGATGTAAACTCTGTATACATCGATTTCAGAGCTTGGTGATTGTCTCTTGTTGGCATGCAGATGTAGTTCATATGTCAGATATTGTAATATATGTATTGAGCTGTTATTTAAATAATTTTAGTCTAGAAAACATATCTCTCTCAATGGCAGCACAGATTTAACTTGATACTGATAGTTCTTGCATTTATTTCTTTAATGCGTATAGATGTTTTCCCGAATGAAGCTCCTCTATCAATAACTTGTACCTCACTATTTTAACTTGATTTTGTGTACTTTAAAACTTAGAGGAGGTCGTGCTGGTGGCTATAAAGAACTTGATGAAGAAGAAATAGAGGAAACAAGACGACGGCGAAAGGAGGCTGAAGAGGTATGCATCCTAGCATCTTTTGTTGAAATGAAATAAAGAAAAAAGAATCATGAACTTCTGGGTTATTCATTGTCTACACTCAGGATGATGGAGAAATGTATGATGAATTTGGAAACCTCAAAAAGAAATTTCGTGCCAGAACACAGCAAGCTGAAGCTGGACAGGTGCTTCCTGGTTCAGGCCGTGCTGGATGGGAAGTTGAGGAATTAGGTACCATCTCTCAATAGTTCTGTGGAATTTGCTTTCATTTTTACTTTATTTATCATTTTTTTAACGTTAAAGCACAGTCTGGACTTTGGATGTGTATAGCGGTCCTAGAGTAGCGGGTTAGGACATCCGAGATGTTTTGGCAAGTAGGTTGTTCAGTATTGTGAACTACAACTCAGAAGAAAGGGATCATTTACCCGTGTGTTTTGAGAGCACTGACTTAAAGTTTAATCAACTGATTTTTCACACCTTAATATGGGCGATGTTCAGAGAGCTTATCTGCAATCACTCAATGGACACTCCCTTTTTTAATTGACCCACATGTTGCAAGTAATTTGATTTATCATTAGTTTCCATCAGCATTAAGAATGAGAGGTGTGTATATTATATTGTAATCCCTATTTTGGCAATTTTAATTTTGGTAGATCTTACTGAGCGTTGAGAACAATAGGGCTTCTCGCCTATTGTTTTAAAGTATTTCATACAGTAGTAGAATTCTAATAAGGGTAAATTTCACAATTATACTGGCATGAACTTTGGGGGGTTTTGGGTTTTGCGCACAACTGCTATAAACTTTTTTATTAGAGAACCACCATGGACATTTTTCACTTAACTGTTATATTTGATGGACTTGTCACGTGCTTTACACTTTGTCATGTTTTGGGCAATTTACCTAATGTACTTTATATATCTTCTATACCAGCCTTTTTCCCTCTTCCTCTTCGTAAATATTGATAATGGCCGTTTCGACCTTTTGTCCAAGACATGCTACACCACTAGCAACAATTTCCAATAATTCATGGTACTTCTCTCCAGTTTTAAAAGCTTGTGATAGTTTTCTCTAAGAAAAATGTTCATAAAAACTTCGTGCCAGACATCCCAAATTACATTCTAGTTTTGTGAAATTTACACTTCTAGTAATCCTTCTTCAGTCATACAGGTAAAAATCAGTGATTAATTTTTTTGTACTTTGACAAGCTCTGGATGATGTCTGTAGGTGTAGTTGAAAGAAATGGTAGAGAGAGAAGTAGAGACAGAGGAAGAGACCACAGTGACAGAGATGGTTATGGACACAGGAGGGGGAGGCATAGAAGCCGTAGCAGAGAGAGGGGCAAGGAAAGAGGGAGAAGAGATAGAGATCGAGACTACGATGACTATGGCAGGGATCGTGATCGCAAGAGAGAGTGGTAGTTAAAATCACTGTTTTTAGCCTTCTTCAGCATCACACATGATGTATGGCATTCGAAGTTTGTAGCTGTATTCTTTCCAACAGGACGAGTTGGTAGATGCTGATCCCTTAATGCTTGGTATTTGGATGTCTTTTTGTTGATAAGATTTGTGACTTCCATATATTGAGTTAGTCTGCATTTCTAGCAACAAATATGAGTTTGTTGGGGAAAATTAAAAAGTTCTTCGCTCATGATACTGAAGTGCGCAACTTGAATGATGGAAAAAAAATGGTGATGGATTTGGTTCTGATTTCTTGAATCTTTTATAGTTGATTGATTGGTCAGCAGACCAGTGGTTTTCAAGTATTTTGAGGCATTACTTCTTTTTTCACCAGTATGTGTATTTGAGTTTTGGTTGTTATTTTCCTTCAAAAATTTCGGGGAAGTTGTGAAGATCGTTTTGAGTTTGGGGTTTTTTCTTTAGTTTTGAATGTGCTGGAGGGTGTTGAGCAACTTACACCAAAATGCAGGGGGTTTTTGTGAAATTTACAGCTCAAGCTAGCGCGTATCCTAGTTTGAGATGAATGGTGATGCCCGATGTTTTTTTAATTTATTCACATATTTTCTTCATTTCCCTCATGAATTTCACTACACATTTTTTCACTTCTGTCATAAATTTGGCACGATTGGAAAATTCAATTTAAAAAAATCTTTCATCTTTCTAAACTTGGAAAATGCAGATATTTGGCATTATGAAAAAGAGAGTAAAGTTTTTTTCAAAAGTCCTATCTTTCATATTTTGAATTAGTCCCTCAAATCACTAAAGTTTGTTATTGTAGTCCATCAATTCATTCAAATTTCAAAACAAGAAAACCGAAAACTGATCTTTTATCGCTTGTTTAAAAAATTCCTAATGTTTTTTTCCTCATCAGAACTCGTTCAATTGAAGAGATTTTTTTCATATTTCAATAGCCATTACATGGATAATTACAACTACTAAACGTGGACAGGGATTATGATTTAAGACCCATGGTGTCAAAGTTCCGGGGGGCTTTTTGTGAAATTCACCCCCAAAAAAATAAAGGGGAAAAAATAACTAAATCTAATTAAGAGTTAATTAATCAATTATCTAATCTCAATCGAATTCGATCCCCCACCCTCTCTTCTCCTTCATCAAACTTCGAGAGAGAGCTCAGTTCCTCAATCAAATCACAAATCAATCAAAAACGAGCAAGAAAGAAAAAAGATCTCACCTTTAATGGCGTCAAGATACTGGATCGTCTCTCTCCCCGCCCAAAACTCCGCCTCCTCCCTCTGGAGCCGCCTCCAGGAGTCAGTCTCCAAGCAAGCCTTCGACACTCCCCTCTATCGAGTAATCCAAACCCTAAAACCCCTCAATTTCGACCCGATCTAGGGTTTCTAACCATATTCTCTCCTCTTTCGCTGCAGTTCAATGTTCCCGATCTTCGAGTTGGAACCCTAGATTCGCTACTGGCGCTCAGCGACGACCTCGTGAAGGTAAGCTACGCGGGATTTGATTCGAGTTAGGTTTCGGTTTCTTTTTTTTTTTAGGGTTTTGACGTTGATTTGTGAGGTTTTGCAGTCCAACGCTTTTATAGAGGGGGTGTCGCACAAGATCCGGCGGCAGATCGAGGAGTTCGAGAGGGTTTCGGGCGTTGATGGCGGGGCTTTGACGGTTGATGGAGTACCTGTTGATTCTTATCTTACGAGGTCTTTAAATTTTTTGCTGGAATTTTTTTTTGTTCTTTTTTAATGGAGTTGAGTTATTCTACTATTAACACTATCCAAAATCTTCGTGCTATCGATTCGAATTTAGAATTTGGATTTCTAAATTGAAGATCCGTATCGTTGGATGTGATGTAATACATACAAGGACCGGCAAAAACAAAATTTCCGACAATTTCGATGAGTTTCTCGTCATAGCAATGGGACAAAATTTTAGCAACTCTATGAGAACGTTTATTTCGGAAACATGTGATACATGGTTGAGACATGTTTAAATCCTTCAAAACTTTGTCTAGATACTTGATGTGTGGTAGATCACATCGAATGGTGCAACTTTTAGACTTCGAAATCCAAAAATTTTAAATTTGGATTCATAATATCCACATTTTTTTACTATTAATAGTACCCTAGTGTCCAACTCTTTTTTATTGGGCTTGGGTTCTGTTTTATATTTTTCTTTACTGATAATTAGAGAACGAACTGGTGTAGGTTTGTCTGGGATGAAGCTAAGTACCCAACGATGTCGCCACTTCGGGAGATTGTTGATGGAATTCATGTCCAAGTAGCCAAAATTGAAGATGACATGAAGGTGAATTGAACTGTCAAACCCATCTTCTAATTTGATTGAAATTTTATTTCGAGTATTGTTACCGCTGGAATTTTAGTTTTATTTTAAATTCTAATGTGTAAATGTATTTTAGAATGACATTCTAGTAGTTTAACAATATTAGAGAGTGAAATGAAAATCTTAAAAATTGAGGTTATTTAGAGTTTTGAGTCTTCTACCCAAAAGGTGTTTTTCCCCCTCCAAGATTCCTGCTACAATATTGTTTCTTTGCTAGAAGCTTGATGTGTTATATCAGCAAATTGCTTCAGAGACATGTGTAGATATGCATGCAACCCGGTGATGGTGAATAGAAAATTATAATCCGTTTTCAATTGTAAACTATAGATTTCTTCCATTATAGTTTATCATGTAGAATTGCAGTGGACAAATAATTTATTAATAAATCTGAAACAGCATTGGCCTCTTTTTTCATTCATAATTATCTTTTACATTTATTATCAACAACTTTTATCTACTAGAAGTCGTAGTGTGATGTATTTTGGTATTTCATGAACTCAAACAAAGCTACCAGAAGATATGATGTTGTTTAAAGATACATGCATTTGGTGTTTCTGATGATTAGACTTAAAGGGTGTTTGGGAGGGTTTTTTTTAAAGCTTAGTTTTTGTTAGAGTAGACTAGAGATGCATAACCGTAACATTAAAATCCATTAAATGCTTACATTGATGAGCAAATATGCACATGCTCATATTCAAATTGTTTAATTTACATATGCCATGGTACTTTTGATTTCTTTTAAAAATGATAATCTGAATCGAATTTGAAAGAATAATTAAACAAACCAGCATTAAACTAGTTGATAATTATTCGATTAATTTCCTCTCTTAATTATGTCACCAACATCATGGACAATTAACAGTTATAATTCTAGAGGTTAAACTTACTGTTGTATCTTCACTTACAAATAATTGAAAAGTTTACTCACTGATTGTTTCCTACTTGCTGTTCATATATTTTAAGGAAACTTGTCCTTTCTACTGGATGTATAAATGATGATGACAATGCTAATAGTTTCCGTAGACAAAAGTAGGAAAGGAAATCATGCCAATTCTTGTATCTTGATGGTGATGTTGTTCAGGATGGCATGGAATTGTTTATTGCACTGAGGATTTTATTTATTTATTTATATCTCTGTTGGATAGAATGTAATGCAAAAAATTCATCATCCCATGGCATTAATTCATCTTGTAATCATGATGACACACCCATTTTAAAATTTTGGAAATGTATATATTACTACAGGTTCATAATAAGTTCTCGAATAAGCAGTAACTGAAGTAGCTGCTTGCATATCACTGGCTCCAAATGATACCTTATTGACATCAGACTAGCAGCGGACCGTTAGTGCCTAGGTTGCAAGTCAATGAAGTTTGTTGCGTGAACAATACCTGGCAATCGATGGCATAGTACATAACATATGCTCAAACTGTCTAATGCACCTAAGGAAGATCTTCTTTTACTTTTTCAATGAGATATTTTGCATAATTGCACATATTGATCTTGAAGGATTGATTTATTACGCACAATTTGAAACACTACCACAATACATTGAATTTATCATGAATAAAATATAAATCTTGCAGGTTCGAGCTGCAGAGTATAACACTGTGCGTAGTCAGCTTAATGCAATAAACAGAAAGCAGACTGGAAGGTACATTATCCTCTGTAGATGTTAACCTTATTTATGCAAAGCACAAGTTCTGAACACATAATCCGATATATATTTTCTCTTATTTTGTGTTTTCTGCTTTTCAGCTTAGCTGTTCGTGACATCTCTAGTTTAGTGAAGCCAGAAGATATTATCACTTCTGAGCATTTAGTGACCCTTCTTGCAGTTGTTCCCAAGTACTCTCAGAAGGATTGGTTGTCAAGCTATGAAACTTTGACTACATATGTGGTTAGTGATTAACTGATTATCAATTTAGAGCTTTACATTTGATGTTAGATGAGAACCTTCGATTGAATAACCTCTGCAAGCTGCATCCATTCCATGTTGTGTGACATCTCTTATCATTTTGATTTTAAATTCTTTTATGAAAATTGAACATTAAGATATGATCTTCTCTGAGAATTTATGAAGTGGACAAAGGAATATATGTACTATACCTGTCCTAATGTGTTCTCTAGTCCATTTTATTGATGCTCCACATGAGAAACTAGGTCTCTCTATTATAGTGAGACTTAAAAAAAATAATTTCAGACCAAAAATCTGCTGATCTGAGCTCTGGTTGTATATAGAAGTTGGGAACTTAAGAGAGTTCCCGTGTTCCATTGTACCATTTGGTAAGATCCTGAAACTCTTATGCTTTACCTTTTCATGGTTAGACTATATCAAAAAGGATTTTTTTTTCCAGTGTGACAAAGTTAAAAATTTATAGGCTAGGAGAAAACAGTAGTGACAAAGTTATAGGCCAGGATGAAACTATCTTTGGTACATTTTTTGAGAGTTACTTGAACTCGTGGAAAGCAACTGACAACGAACTGATTTACTTTCAAAATTATAGGTCTTGTTAAATTGGAAGTTCAATGAACAAAGGAAGACAAATACCTGCAGTTACAGGTGGATACTTAGTTTAATAATCTGGTGTAATGAATAGGTGGCATATCTATTCCTTTATACAAACAGGAGGATCAGAGATTCACTGTTCATGCTACAGTAAATGCTACAGTAGAATTATTGCTGTAGCCAATAATTAATTAGAAATGCTATTGCAGCACACGGGTCTACTGTAACATTTAAAAGGTACTGTAGCAGAGTGAGACACTGTAGCAGAGCGGGGTACTGTAGCACTTCCAAAAAATTCAAAGCATGCATATTAAAAAATGGGATTACTGTAGCAAAAAAATAAATAAATAAAAATACCGTGCTTTGCACGGACCGCAAACTAGTTATTAATTAGTAGACTAGTTTGATTTGCTGAAATAGTGAAACTTCTTTTGATTAAATCAGTCTGGCATGCCTGATGAAATTTCTAGAAGACTGAAATATATATGCCTTTTTGGTTTTGACGACATTGAAGCAAGGTTTTAAATGTCGGATGTCGGGTTCATGTCGGATGGCTGAAATCCATGTCGGATAGCGAAAATCGGGGATATATCGGGGGACATTGACTAAATATCGGATTGTCATATCGAGTAGTGCACATATGTATAATATCATGTCCTAAATGTAATCTAAGCATTCGTATATTCAATATAAGCAGACTTTACAAATTCTATAGACTAAACATATAAAAAAGTAAATAATATATGGATTTGGGTTCATAAATTCTTTCTACCGGGTTCATAAGAAACCCTTAAACATGAGAACGGGTCAAACGGGTTTGGATATTTATCACTAAACTCAAACCCGATAACAAAAAACAGATCTTAAAAAAAGTACCATATCGGCCGATTTTTCAAAGCTAAAAAATAGGCCGATATGCCCGATATGACCCTGATATTTCTGATTTGGCTCTGAAAACCGACGTACGAGTTGAAAACGTCCATGTCGTATCGGTCAAGCTCTCAAACCGATATGTCGGCCGACATGTTGGACATGTCGGCCGACATTTAAAACATTGCATTGAAGGTGCTTATTCTTTTAAGAAAAAATGTCATGAGTTAGGCAAAATTAATGGTGGCTACGCTGCGTCTACTGTTTGAAACTCAGTTTTCAAATTATTTCTATCAGTTCAAATAACAATATTGCTTGGTAGTATACATTTAACTTTATATGTCTTGTTAACTTGGTAGCTTGATAAATAAGCAGGAAATGCAATTGCAATTATGAGTGTTGAAAATGTTCTTTGTTTTATGAATTTATTGCTAACTAGTCTGGCATTTTACCAATTAATAAGCCATTTTCTTTTGAAGAAGTAAAATTTAGTATTCCGAATAAATCAGTCGACAAATCTGAAAAATTCTTGAAGACTTGGTAAACATACGCTTCTTTTTGGTTTTGAAGACATTGAAACTTCATTTTTCTCATACAAAATTTCAGTGTAGAGGAAGTCTATGGTGCCTGAGGATGTACCTATATTGTTTGAAACTTAATTCTCAGATGATTTCTTTATCTTTTGGAATAACAGTATTACTAATCTAATTGCATCAGATTACATCATATTCATGAAACCTTGTGAAATAAACTTAGCTGGATTTGCGTTCATTTTTCTTGTTTACTTTTAAAAGAAAATATTTTTGCTTCTGGATTTTTTCTTCTTCTGGTGATAACATCTTCTGGATATTTTGTTTATGTAAATGGCTCTCAGAAATATTCTTCTAGTTCTTTAGTGATATGAAATTTACAATGCTAACAGTTTTTCTAACCAATTCAGGTTCCTAGATCGTCAAAAAAGCTGCATGAGGACAATGAATATGCTCTCTACACTGTGACACTTTTTGCAAAGGTTGCTGATAACTTTAAAACAAGTGCACGTGAAAGAGGGTTTCAGGCAAGTTCTCTTTCCTTATTGTGTATGCAATATAGTTCTAGCTGTAGGTCCATGGTTTAGCGCTGCTGAATACACATCTTCAACCATCTTGGATTGACTTATAAGGAAGAAGATCTAAAATAAAGCAGGTTTATTAGTTGTTTCAAACTACGGATTTCCATGAAAAGCTTATCCTGCTATCAGGGTTGTTGAATTTATAAGAGATCATCATACTCTTTTTAAAAACACGAGTTCGGAAATATCTTTCCATGGTCAATATTACCCTTCACTATTTTGAATATTTTATTTAAATCTTAATCTATTCTAATTCATCTTTCCATGGTCAATATTACCCTTCACTATTTTGAATATTTTATTTAAATCTTAATCTATTCTAATTCTAATTGTATCTTATTACTATTTTGAATATTTTATTTAAATCTTAATCTATTCTAATTCTAATTGTATCTTATTTAATCCCACGTGAACTACCTAATAGCTCAACAATTAAAAAAAAGATTAACAATCTACATAAAACATTATTTTGAATATTTTATTTAAATGTTAATCTATCCAAATACTAATTATAACATGTATTAACTCCACATGAACCACCCATAGCTCAACAATCTAAACAAACAAGATTAAAAAATTCTACATAGATAACATATTATAGTACATGAAGTATTACAAAAAAACCCAAATTTTTTTAAAACTTACACAAAATATCTTCAAAAGTTTAGAATTACCCAAAACACGCTGACTTTTCAAAACTTAAAACAACAAATATAAAATTTAAAAATTAACAATAGCCCCCCGATGAATTTGAAATTGTAGAAACAACCTAAAAAGTTTAAATTTTATAAAAACGCACCCTAAAATTCAGAGATTTTAAAACTTGCAAACAACATAGACGAATCCACAGATTACCATTAGGCACTTGAAAATTTAAAATTTGTAAAAAAATCTCAAAGTTACAAAAATTATAAAAACTACATTAAAAGTTAAAAATCTTAAAAAATCCTGAAATTTTAAAACTTATAACTGGTAGACATCAAATCTGAAAGTTATCAGCAGATTGCTGGAAATTTAATTTTTTTAAAAAACAACCCAATGTTTTACTAATTACAAAAAAGTCCTTAAAATTTCAGAGTTGCAAGAAATATCTTAACATTTAAACTCACAAAATATGAAAATTACAAGCACCCAACGTAAAATTTAAAAATTTTAAAAAATGCTATCAAAGATTAAAAATTACAAAACACACACTCAAAAGTTCAAAATCACAAAAGGCTAAAATTTGGCAAAGAAGAGAGTAAATGTTTGATATTCTTTCATTAAGACATAACTTTCAATTTAAAGTTTATCATCCCTTTTTAGTATCTAAAAGTAGTCTAAGTTGATACTAGTAAAAAATAGCAATTACAATAAATTAAAACTATTCAGTTAAGAAATAAAAATTTAAAAAACATATGATAGATTAAAACTAATGTTGCTATATAAATTTAAGGATCTGCATATAATTTTACTAATAGCATTAATTGATAGAAATTTAAATTATATAAAACTAACAAAAGACTATAATATAATAAGTTAACATTAATTGATTACAATGTATAAACATTCATCTCTAATGTTAATAATATTTATAGGGTAAAAAAATACAATGAGTTAACGGATCCAAAGGGACAGCCTCTTGGAGCTTCGTTATACCTCCCTCAAATCACAGGCCTACCTCAGCTTTTACAGCTTATCAATTAGCTTCTCATTATATAATTATCTGCTTAATTCACCATAGAATTTGATGCGTCAAAACTAAAAGCATGTTTTGCAATAGCTCAAGAGCATGATATGTGATCATAGATCATTTGGAGATGACATGGAGTAACAAATTTATGTATAGAGAAATTATCAGAAAGTTTATAGATATCCTTTTAAAAAATCAAACTATTTTTATTTCAAACGGAGAAGTGAAGGAAATAAACCTAAAATTCGAAAACATTCATGAATCACTTGAACTAACATTGACAAAAGTTATATCTAGCAAAGAAGCACCGACTGAGTTCCCCTTGAAGAATATATTGAATAACTTTATCCCGATCAAAAAAACATTCTCCATAAAAGATACAAGAAAAATTAGTAAGCATTTATAAATTTTCATACTTTATTCTTGAAATACTAAAGGAATAATAAACTTAATATAAAATTACATATTAATAATCTTACAATAGAAACTAAAGTGAAGTCATTGTTTAACTATGTTGCGAGATATCTATAATGGATAAAAGGTATACACATGATACTTAGTTACAATAGCGTAAGTAAAAAAAAGTTCCTATATAATGGCATGACTCAGCAAGTAACTTTATTTGGGGATATGATTACTAATGAATGATCAATTTTTAAAGACATGATCAAAGATAAACATGTAATAGCACTGTCAGATTTTAAAATCTTTAAATATGGAGGTAACATATTTTACTTCTAAATTTTTTATTAAAAGTCACTAAATATAAAATTCACATTATATTTGTCTTAATTTTATGTGGGAAATATGCATGTCATCGTAAATTATGTTAACAATACATATCAACCCTAAGATACAACTTATTTAGGAAATAAGAGAATGGTAAGTAAGCCAAGCAAACATCAATATAACATAATAAAAAAAATATTACACTTTAAGGCTAATATGCATAACTCATTCAGAATAAGCTGCTAAAATAAAAGCATATCCATCAAGGTTCTTTACGAATACAATACAAATTTAAACTATTGATATATGCAATCATCACAACATTCAAAAGAGGTATGTTCTTACAGGACCTACTCTAAAATGTACACAATTAAACTTAAAAATACTCTACCAATATACAGACACGTTGTTGGACCTATAATGTAAAGCTAACTATCATTTACAATATAGTTGAGCCGTGGTTCTAGCTTGCAAATGCTACAACAATCTTTAAATATTGAGGTAACATATTTTACTTCTAAAAATAGCTTGATTTCAAAATCTTTAAATATGGAGGTAACATATTTTACTCCTAAATTTTTTATTAAAAGTCACTAAATATAAAATTCATATTATATTTGTCTTAATTTTGTGTGGAAAATATGCATGTCATTGTAAATTATGTTAGCAATACATATCAACCCAAAGATACAACTTATTGAAGAAATAAGAGAATGGTTAGTAAACCAAGCAAACATGAATATAACACAATAAAGAAAAAAACATTACACTTTGAAGCTAATATGCATGACTCATTTAGAATAAGCTGCTAAAATAAAAGCATATCCATCAAGGCTCTTTACAAATATAATACAAATTTATACTATTGATATATGCGATCATCACAACATTCAAAGAGGTATGTTCTTATAAGAGCTACTCTAAAATGTACACAATTAAACTTAAAAATACTCTACCAATATACAGACACGTTGTTGGACCTATAATGTAAAGATAACTATCATTTATAATATAGTTGAGCCGTGGTTCTAGCGAAAGGCTACAATAAGAAGGTGAATAGTGATGTTACTAAGAATGTCCAAATGATAATTGTCATAGAATCACTGATGATGTAATACTAATTTGAGTAATATCTCTTCATGAAATAAACATATCAAAATTAAATATTAACATTATAATATGAGGCAATTTGATAATGGAAAATACAGTTATTTAGTTCAGATTCTTGTGAAAAATGACTTGGACAAAGCAAAAAGGTAATATTATTAACACAATAGAAACTCTTATTGGATGCACACCAGAAAAAATTCGTTGCAGAGAAAAGAGGTAACACCTAACATTATTTAAAAAATAAATTAAAAACATAAAATTTTTATATATATGAAATTAACATTTAATCTCATTGAAACACAAAAATAATCAAAGTCTGTATTTTTAAAAGTTTCTGTTGAATATCGAAAATACATTTAACTTCTTTGTGAAGTAAGACAAGAAGACAGAGGAACGAGCTCATGGAAAAATAACATCACAAGAAATCCAGCTCCAACCTGATGTCACAATCAATGTAGACAACGAAGACACAACTCTAGAATTGCTTAGGAAGAAGATAAATGTAAAGAAGGATTGATCTTAACTTAATAAAACACAACTCTAGAATTGCTTAGGAAGAAGATAAATGTAAAGAAGGATTGATCTTAACTTAATAAAAAAATGAAACAGAAAGAATAAAAGATTTGTTTTTCGAATTTTATAGAATAGCTTAATTTTTTTGAGTAAAAACCAGGAATATTTAGAAGAGATTCTCATCAACTGTTTTAAGTATTTTTATATGGTTATGTGGATGATTTTAATATATAAAAGTGTACTAGAGTTATTATTAATCTTTAATTTATGATTTATTCTTAAGTTTATGATGATTAGCAACAAACTTCATATTCTCTTTAGTTTCGCTCTAGCCCACGTTAATTAGTCATCTTGGCTTATTGGTTTTAATTATTCATCTTTATTTTATAACACTATTTTTAACTATTTTTCACTTTTACAACATTATACTTTCTCAAACCAAGCTTTGTTTCATGCCGGTCCAAATAACGTAAAAATTCAAATTAGTTTTGGATTACGTTTGTTTCCTAGCAATTCAATTATCAATCATGAAAATTTAAATTTAGTGTAGCCCATTCAAACAAACATCAAAGAAAATAAATAATCACAGTGTTAAAGTTTAAAGATATAAGTGAGCAAAAACAATAGAAGTGTAACTGAGAAATAAATTTTAGTAATAAAATAAATTAAAAATATTTAATCATGGTATTTAACCACGTGCATTGTACGTGCATAAAACCTAGTAAGCATGAAACATGCAAGTAATTGGTCTTTCATTTCCGGAACTTTATAGGTGTCTCTGGTGTTTTGCTTTGTAGTAGTAAGTGCTTTTAAGTGACTTGTCCTGAAACACTTTTTAGAAAAATATTTGTTTAGATATTTAAAATGCTTATGTTTGTTTGAAATTTTAAGTAGCTGTAAGAAAGTACAAAATTCGAAGTAGTTTGAATAAGATGGATGCCTAGGAGAGAATTTTTGGATAATATTTAAGAAAAATATAGAGCAGGGACTGTAATTTTCTGTTGAAGGATGTTCTATGTTGTGTGGTTGATTTTATCATGAAGCTGTGGCTGTAACCATCACCAGCACTTCTTGGATAGTCCTTGAATATATGCATGCATTTATTTGGAAATGTAATCAATTATCCACTACATGCTTTAATTTAAAATTTTGGTCATACATTTTTTGGACGTATGTCCTACACCCGTATCTGTACACATGCAACTTAGAAGATATCACATGTGGCAGGACTTACTTGCTTTTGCAGCTGAGAGAAGTCTGCAAATGTTGCTTCTCCAAATCAAAAAACTATTTTTTTAATAGAAGCTCCCTTAAGTACTTATTATCAAACATCATTTTTNTTATCAGCAGTACAAGCACTAATCACAAGCAAAACATCAACGGTATTATGGCAATCTTATGGCCCTCCAATTCCTTCATCTATCTTGCAAAGGATTTGTTGTATTTTTATGTTGCACGTTAAGGTTGAAGGACATTGATGGTATTCTGCATTATTTTGCTTCTCTCTTATATGCTTGCATTATATTTTCTGTTATGAGAACATACATGAGTAGAACATGCAACTTGTGTTTCTCTATTTTGTTATAACCAATTTGGGGCATTATGTTTCAGATCCGTGAGTTTGAATATGGTCCGGAAGCACAAGAGGATCGAAAACAGGAGCTGGAAAAATTGATGCAGGACCAAGATACCTTGAGAAGCTCTCTTCTGCAATGGTGCTACACCAGTTACGGAGAGGTACTTTCTCTTTTATGAATTTCTTTGTTCAATATTTTTCTAATTGCATCGCAATTATATTCTGATACACGCTTCCAAGTTTAGGCTACGAAGAATTGGTGGTATCAAGTAATTCTGCTCATGAACAAAGATCTCTTAAGTCATTTCTCATCATTTTTGCTCATCTTAGTTTGTTTTCATGCTTTTGAAAAATTACAAGCGTTAGCTGAATAGTTTTTTAAATTTCAGTTGCTTATTTAGAGTATGAGTTGCTTCCATAAACTTCTGATAATATGTTGGGATGACACATTCAACTCGTTTTTTGCATGTATGATGAATGTTAATGAGGAAGTTATTAATGTATGTATGTATAGATTAGTTCTTTGAAATTGAAGACATGGAACTTCGGAAAGGAGTGATTCATAAGCATGTTGCCGGCACATAATATATGCAAATTGAATATTCCTTTGTAAAATTGGAAGGTAGATAAAGAAGACAGCAATCTGCTTATATTTAGATGTTCCTGGGTGAGACGAATGGTACACATAGATTTAAATTCTAAGGGTTTGCATTAAACGTTCAGTGGCCGCAATAACAAAATGTGCTTAGCTTTGATATCTAACTGAAGTATGACAATTCACAAGATAGTTGAATGTTTATAATAACCAGACAAGGAATTAGTAATCCATACTGATATTAGATGATTATTTTGACTGTTTATGAGATATACATTTAGCATTGTTGTATTGTGTGTCTTTTAAAAGAGAGAGTATTTATGGGTGCATAGGCCCTTTACATTAGTTGTACTATTAGGCGTAGTTTGTGGGCGAATATGTAACAGGACTAGTAGCCACAAAAAGTAACTGATCTTCTTATCATGAGTATGGCATAGGCATTGCACTTTATGCTATATGTAGCACTTGTAGCCATCCCTGAACTGGAAAGTTTTAGGCTTATCATATAATACTCATTTGGTTAAGTGACAAATGCACTGACTGAATATAATGTTAGTAACACAGTATATAGGTTGACACATGCTGTGTTCTTGCCTAGGTACAAGATATTGTTGAGGACGGGAAATCCTGGCTGCATCTGGATAAAATTTTATTTGTCAATCTTTAATAATCCAAGATTCCAAGGACAAGAAAATTTTATTTCAGATTAGAATTTCAGATATCATGAGGTTGTGGTAGATCCATGATCTTGCGACGTTTGATTTTACCTACCAAACAGATTTGCAGATAATGAAAATTGAGATACGCCTAATTTTGTGATATTTATGGTTACACAAAAGGAACCCAACTTGTATAGGACCATCGTTTTCTATTCAGAAGATTTTTTTTGACTGAAGTCTCCAAAAACTAAACACTCATAAATGTAAATAGTATTAGTCTGCTTATGCACATGGCTTGTCAAAAAGTAAATGTCAGGATGTGCCAAGCCAATTATCATGTTTCTTGCTTGCCTCTTAAGTCTTACTCTGACTTGCAGGTTTTTAGTTCCTGGATGCACTTTTGTGCTGTTCGGGTGTTTGTGGAGAGCATCCTCAGATATGGTCTACCACCGTCATTTTTGGTACTCAAATACGTCTAAGAACTAGTTTGATTATAAATCAGTTCCTCCTTTTTTACACACATGAACATCATTCATATGTCTTTTTCAATGATTTCAGTCTGCAGTATTATCTCCGCCAACAAAAAGTGAGAAAAAAGTACGCAGCATCTTGGAACAGCTTTGTGGAAATGCCAACAGGTAACTAGCATTTTAGCTTATATAATGAATAATGCTAAATTTACTATCTACTTAAAACATAACACACAAGCGCTGCTTTCATTTCACAAAGAACACACCACCTTTGAGCATCTCCTAGGACCAAAGTGGTTTGAAGTTAGTACAGTTAGCATGTTCCTATACAAATTGGAATGTCGAAGGATTTTCATACATCAGCTAATCTAAATATGCAAATTGAGTTTTATTTTTTATGTTGTGCAGTACGTACTGGAAATCCGAAGAGGATGTAGGCCTTGCTGCTTTAGGAGGCGAATCTGATGCTTATCCCTATGTCACCTTCACAATTAACATTACCTAAGACAATAAAGCTCAAGTTATCACGGAGTTTCGAGTAGTTATTCTGTCAGTGGATGACAATGCGGTGGTCATTGATAAACATATTTTAATTGTATATTAGCTGTCCATTCTATTTGTTATGCATCCCATACTCCATGTAGGTTTTGGGTGGTATCTCAGTATCCCATAATCTTTTTTGAGTTGACGACTTGAAGTGGCCATGAAGCAAAACCTTGGTTCCTGTATTTTATGTTGCTGTTCAATAAAGTTCGACTTGAGTTGAGGTTGATACGTCGACACTGTTTGTGGTGGTCCACTCAATCCCAAGTTTGTTGCAGTTATTTTGACGAGGGTTTTGAGCTTCATATATAACAGGAAACCTCGTTAGCTAGCAAAGATATAAACCATCCAAAACTCTGGAGCGATGGTACTTATAAAAAGGAATTGTGTGGTTTGATCCTAACGAAAATCAACAAAGATTTGCATTGTTCTATCACTATATTTCGTATAATCTCTTGCGTCCATTTCCTCACAATGGCGTATGAGGATGTTCGGAGGTTGTATTTGTGGACGTTTTTGAACTATTTTCACTACATTTAGGCAAGCTATGAACATTGAGTATGGTACAAATTCATCCGTGTAAACTATTTACATCATGTAAATCCCATCTTTTATCTATAATAAAATGGGACAATACCCTTATTTCTCGGAAAGAAAGCCATCAACATTTCATGTCAATTCAACTACTGCCTTAACTGAGCTCATCGAGTCACCTGTCAGAACGCAAGCATAGCCGCATCAATTAGAACTGAATGATGCGTATCCCACTCTACCGCAACGCTGTAACCTCCTCCTCGACTTGAGATGCTCGTGAGAATCCTTCAGAACATCAGCAAATTTCTTCGTCTTCGTCTTCTCAGGATCATCAGCCTCTTCATGGTCAAGATTATAAGTCCAATTACTCAAACAATCCTCAGAAGCTCTCTGTTTTTCCTGCCAATTTTCATTCTCCACCGAGATGCACGAGAGAAAACTATCAAAAGATTTTCTCCTTGCATTTGCATCTTCAACTTTACTTACACGTTTGTCTTTCCTCAGTACAAGCTTTTGGAGCTTGTTAATAATCTTCGATCTTCTCGATTTCTTTGTTGAGGAGGTAGTGGATGTGTCACTGTGGTCTTCAACCGAGATTTGCGAAGGAGAACAAGTCTCCGTGTCAAACTCAAGGGGGGAACCGTGTTTCTCATTTGCACCAGATTCAGGAGAATGATGATGATCTCTATGTTCGTGTCGTAGACAAGCATCAATCCGTCTGAGGTACACTAATTCTTCGATTTCTGAGAAGCGATCAGTTTGAATTTGTTCGGTTTGGTTTTTTTGGTTCTTGTTCTCCTCTCTCACGTTGCGGGTTTCGTCCGTTGCCTGCAATTGAAATGATTATACGACCAAGGTAATTTGACTGAGAGGAGCCAAGAATAGCATATGGAGTATAGAGCAATACTTGCTAAAGAGAAACTCAAATAAAAAGGACATGTAAGCCATAAGATAATACAGGATTATTACTTCACTTAGTTGGTACATTTTGTGGCAACTGTGGCTATTGTTATACATAGTCAAAATCATCTTACTTGTTTCTCTCTGATTATATTCTCTATAGGAAAAACCTCTAACTTCCTATTGAATGTACACAATTCCTACCATTTTATGACTTGGTGTACATACATACGTTCACCATCACATTTTTATTTCTGAGGTATTCATTTTTTGCGCATGTTGTTTCTTACGTAAACAATTAACAAAGCAGATTTCCATTTGCAATGACGAATGAGAAGTGACGATAAAGCGAGTAAGGTAATGTATGGATAGAGAATAACCTCTGCTTGATCAGAAGAGGCTCTCATCGGTGCACGCTCCAGTTGCTGAACAAGCTTCAAATTCTCTTCTTCCAGCCTTGAATTAACCTTTCGAAGATCGACTGTCTCTTCTTCCAACTCCTTCAACCTCTTCAACTTCTTCTCAACCTCGACATAATTTTCACAGTGCTTTCTCTCTCTATCGACAAGCTCAGTGATCCTCTCCTGAAGAGCAAGTAACTTCTCCTCGGTTTCTTCTTCATCGAATTTCAACCTTTCCTTCAAAAGCTCAATCTCTTCTCTTGCGGACTCGAGTTCTGATACTAATGTAGGATACCCTACTGCTCGAGCTTGAAGCTTCTCGTTGTTTTCCTGCAGAGATTCAATCTTCAAATTCAAGAGCTTAGACTCCATTGCATTTGCCTTCAACCGATTCTCGAGCTCTCTTAATGAAGCCTCTTGATCCTTTAACTCGTAGTAATCAATAATTTGCATCTCAAGACCCCTCTCTCTCTCTTTGAGAGCCTCAACCAAGTTTCTGAGATAACCAATCTCTTTCTCCAATGATTTCACTGTGTTCTCTTCAATTTTGTCATAACCTGGCATCAAAAGCACCTCTTCAACGGTGGCAGTGGCAATGTTACTAATATCATTGGACATGATGGTAGATGAGCCATGGACGATTTTGGCGAAAGCTTCCTCCTTTCCAAAAAAATTCACCAAAAAACAACAAATATGTCAAAGACCCTTCCCCCAAAAATCATTTAAATCACAAATTTGTTAAAAACCCCATATCTGAAAAATCACTAAAAATTGAGACGCTAACATTTTTAAGGATGTGGAGCTCATCTTTGAGGCCAGGGGCAGTAATGGCTGAGGATTTATCAGTCGATTCTTTAGACCCATCACCTGTTGCAAAATTTGAAGTTCTGTCAAGTCATCATTAATCGAAACAACAAATTCACATTCACAATATTCCGATATGTGATGTTTGATCGGATGTCGTTGCAATATCAGAAAATTGTTGCAAAACCAAAATATGTTAAAAACTAAAGGAACATCCCAGCGGTAGGAGTTGGTGTATCCATCATATATTTCAAATTGAAACACTCTTCAATTACAACCGCAATTATTTTGCTTTTGCGCAATATTTTCGATTGTAACAAGATCAAACCGAACTTTTTATTAAAATTTGGATACAATCAGAACAACATGAATCTCTAAATAGTCATATTCAAAATAATCCCTCGATGAAAATTAACCCAAAAAATTTATTAAAAAATAATCAAAACTGTTAAAATTAATATAAAACTATAATTCTCGACCATCGGAGTTTTGGTGTAATGATTAGATGAGCTAAATTTAAGATGTTATCAGAGAAACCCATGTTCAAATCCCACCGGCCACAAATTTTAAAGCGGATTTTCTAAAAATTGACACCGCCGCGTGAGTCCAGGTTTTAGCCCATAAAAAAGAGCCTTCAACCTGCGGGGTCATGTTAAAATTAATATAAAACTATAATTCTCGATCCTCACCGTAACTTCGGAGTTTTTGTCTAATGGTTAGAGGAGCTAAATTTAAGAAAAACAAGAAAAATAAATTGAAACCTGAAGAGGACTTGGATTTGAGTTTGTCATGAAGTTGATGAGCAAAATATCCAGCTACAAAGATCGCCAGGGTGAAGCCTAGTTTGAGGACAAGTGGTCTGATGTTCCTCTTGACTCCTTTAACGAGAAGGCCGGCTTCCATTACCAATCTCCCTCTCTATGATTCTCTTCCTATATGAAGTTTTTATAATAATCACTTTATATTGGAAAAATAAAAAAAAAGGAGAAAATAAAAAGTAGAAAGAGCAAGAATAAGAATAACAAGAAGTGGGTAGTTTAAAAAGGAAATCCATTGTTGTGACATTGATTGGGATCATCAGTTTACACTACACGCACATGATGATTTGAAGGGAAGGAACAAGGAAGAGGGAAGAAGTGAGAAACTTTACAAGGTTTGGGAAAATTAGATATAACCCCCTCATTTTATACATTCAATTACACCTATCATCTCACGATTCATCATTAGCGCTAATCACTCCTGTGATTGAGTGATTAGTTCATTTAAGAACAAGTGACTTCAAATGTTAAATTCAGAAGTGATAAAAAGTGCAAATAAATAAGTTGAAAATTGTATGGCAAAAAGGGTCATATGCAATTTACCCTTTTTGTATATAAGCCCTCCTGATGTTACCTGTTCTGTTTTCTTAATTCTAATTGGCTTATAATTGGCTTATAATTCATATATGGATTATAAGCCAAAGTATTTAGTATATATAATCCAAAGTGTTTAGTGGATAATCAGCCAAAGTGTTTATTAGTGGGTTATAAGCCAAAGTGTTTAGTAAATTTACTAGATTAGCAAATTGGTGAGTTATAGGAGATAATCATTGTCAAAATGACAAGAAAAAAAATATTTTAGGGGTTGAAGAGAGGTAAATTGGGATTGGGATTGGAATTTTCTCAATTGATGAGGGTGTTTTGGTCTTTTACATGGTCAAAGCATGTGGCTTATAAGCCACCAAAAATAAGCTAGGGTACACAACTTATTTTTCGATGGCCTATAAGCCCAAATAGGTCATTTTCCAAACATGTCAAAGTGGCAGACCACTTGCCGAGCATGCTCTAAAACTTTGTAATCTTTTTTATATTCCACCTAAGATTGAACTTAAAGATTTAAATATCAAATGTAGGACTAATTTGGGATGATGCTTTAAAGCTGATCTCTGTATTTGTAATGTTGCATACGAAGTCATGGATAACCTCTATATACTTACTTCAGTGTATAAAAACTAGATCTTAACTAAACATTTATCTCTCTATATATTTGTTTTAAAAAATAAAAATTATAACTTCCATCTTTATGAACTATACTAGAGAGCTTCTTGAATGTAATTATGAATCAATCTGAACTAAAAGTTTAACTTGATACGTCTTAACTTAGATTTATATTTGATCATATTACTCTTTTCTCAAGTCATCCTAACATTGAACTATATTCATACATGAATTTTCATTCCTCAGTGACATAGCAATGTGAAGTTGAAAAGGAAGTGTAATCTTTGTCAATAAAAAATAATAATTTCAAATATAAGAAATTTTCAAGAGGGAAAGGACTACACTGAGCGAATGATGGATAAATTAAGAAAGATTTTTTTTGGGGGGGTATATCCAAAAGCTACGTAAAAATTAATGAGCAATCTTATTGCTATTATTGCTATAATCAAAGGCTTGAGAAAGGAAGAATAACTACACTTTGCTTCTCCAACTTTTTTTTTAGTTTTTGTTTAGTTTTTGTTTCCCTTTGTGAGGTTTTTCAATCTTTCGCTTTCTTGATTCTTATTTTACTCTTTAGTGTGTTACATGTGAGATACTATGATCTCCCTTTGTTTTATTTATTCATTTATGTGGGAATAAATGAGAATAAGGAAATTAAACTAATGGCCAAAAGGGAAGACTTTGAAGAAAGTGGAGGATTCTTCATGTTCGCAACAGCCAAAAGAAAAAGGGATGGTCGAAGAACGCATCCCACGAGTATGTTTAATTTAGCAATAATTGCATATATATAATCTTTGTATTACTCCACGTACGTTGGTCATTTAATATCACTTAAACTTCTATTATCATCTCGGAAAACATAATATACAACAGAGACGGAAATAAATATATAAATCTATAGGGTCGAAAAATTGATGTTGGATTGAATCTCTTGTTTTAAGAAATGGATTTGATCACTTAGTACGAAACCCTTATAATCACTCACACACTCTCTCGATTACAGAGGAAGAGAAGATTAATTCAGCTTCTCTTTTGTTTAAGGTGGGTTCTAGGTGGCGAAAGGATGCTTCCCCCGATGCTTGAGTCGAGCTTGCCTCCCGTTGACGATCAGACCAAGATTGCTGGAGCTTCTGAACTTTGTTAACCGGCTAGAATCGAGATTCGTACTCCGGATCAACGTGCAGAAACTTTGATCTCTGATGCTTCTCTAAGTCCAAGTTTGAAAATCTCCAATTAATTGATAATCAACCCTTTCCTCCGTAGCCGTCGATGGCTATTTATAGGGTTTTAAGCACGTAACCGACGTGCTACAATAGTGGAGTTGTGGGCGTAACTGATGCACTGAAATTACGAAGTCGTGGCGTAACTGACTCCTTGAATTTAGTCCATGTGGCTGACTGGGTCTTCATGACCGTTACAGCCTAATTTAATGTGGGCGACGAACTTCACTGCGTTGGCGAACCTCGTCTTTGATGTCGAGCCTCGCTGCGTGGCGAGCCTCGTCTTTGATATCGAGCATTGCTATGTGGCGAACCTCGTCTTTGATGCCGAGCCTTACTGCGTGGAGAGCCTCGTGAGCTTCGTCTTCACTGACGAGCTTTAAATCTGATGACAAGCTTTGTTCTCATTGACGAACTTCACCTCCGATGATGAACTCCGAACCTCGTATCCAATTATGAGCTTCGAACCTCGTTTCTAATGACGAGCTTCATCTTTGATGTCAAGTCTCCTTTCCAATGATGAGATTCAAACCATGTTTCCAATTACGAGCTTCACATCTTGTTTCCAATGACAAGCTTTGTTGTTTGAGACGAGGTTCATCATTGTAATGACCCTCGTCATGCTCGTTATGAGCTTCAACGTTCTAAGGCCAAATGATTAACCAATGATCTATGAAGATCCATGAGAGTGGAGGAGAGATAGGCTTTTTTCAAAAATAATCAAAACTGTTAAAATTAATATAAAACTATAATTCTCGACCATCGGAGTTTTGGTGTAATGATTAGATGAGCTAAATTTAAGATGTTATCAGAGAAACCCATGTTCAAATCCCACCGGCCACAAATTTTAAAGCGGATTTTCTAAAAATTGACACCGCCGCGTGAGTCCAGGTTTTAGCCCATAAAAAAGAGCCTTCAACCTGCGGGGTCATGTTAAAATTAATATAAAACTATAATTCTCGATCCTCACCGTAACTTCGGAGTTTTTGTCTAATGGTTAGAGGAGCTAAATTTAAGAAAAACAAGAAAAATAAATTGAAACCTGAAGAGGACTTGGATTTGAGTTTGTCATGAAGTTGATGAGCAAAATATCCAGCTACAAAGATCGCCAGGGTGAAGCCTAGTTTGAGGACAAGTGGTCTGATGTTCCTCTTGACTCCTTTAACGAGAAGGCCGGCTTCCATTACCAATCTCCCTCTCTATGATTCTCTTCCTATATGAAGTTTTTATAATAATCACTTTATATTGGAAAAATAAAAAAAAAGGAGAAAATAAAAAGTAGAAAGAGCAAGAATAAGAATAACAAGAAGTGGGTAGTTTAAAAAGGAAATCCATTGTTGTGACATTGATTGGGATCATCAGTTTACACTACACGCACATGATGATTTGAAGGGAAGGAACAAGGAAGAGGGAAGAAGTGAGAAACTTTACAAGGTTTGGGAAAATTAGATATAACCCCCTCATTTTATACATTCAATTACACCTATCATCTCACGATTCATCATTAGCGCTAATCACTCCTGTGATTGAGTGATTAGTTCATTTAAGAACAAGTGACTTCAAATGTTAAATTCAGAAGTGATAAAAAGTGCAAATAAATAAGTTGAAAATTGTATGGCAAAAAGGGTCATATGCAATTTACCCTTTTTGTATATAAGCCCTCCTGATGTTACCTGTTCTGTTTTCTTAATTCTAATTGGCTTATAATTGGCTTATAATTCATATATGGATTATAAGCCAAAGTATTTAGTATATATAATCCAAAGTGTTTAGTGGATAATCAGCCAAAGTGTTTATTAGTGGGTTATAAGCCAAAGTGTTTAGTAAATTTACTAGATTAGCAAATTGGTGAGTTATAGGAGATAATCATTGTCAAAATGACAAGAAAAAAAATATTTTAGGGGTTGAAGAGAGGTAAATTGGGATTGGGATTGGAATTTTCTCAATTGATGAGGGTGTTTTGGTCTTTTACATGGTCAAAGCATGTGGCTTATAAGCCACCAAAAATAAGCTAGGGTACACAACTTATTTTTCGATGGCCTATAAGCCCAAATAGGTCATTTTCCAAACATGTCAAAGTGGCAGACCACTTGCCGAGCATGCTCTAAAACTTTGTAATCTTTTTTATATTCCACCTAAGATTGAACTTAAAGATTTAAATATCAAATGTAGGACTAATTTGGGATGATGCTTTAAAGCTGATCTCTGTATTTGTAATGTTGCATACGAAGTCATGGATAACCTCTATATACTTACTTCAGTGTATAAAAACTAGATCTTAACTAAACATTTATCTCTCTATATATTTGTTTTAAAAAATAAAAATTATAACTTCCATCTTTATGAACTATACTAGAGAGCTTCTTGAATGTAATTATGAATCAATCTGAACTAAAAGTTTAACTTGATACGTCTTAACTTAGATTTATATTTGATCATATTACTCTTTTCTCAAGTCATCCTAACATTGAACTATATTCATACATGAATTTTCATTCCTCAGTGACATAGCAATGTGAAGTTGAAAAGGAAGTGTAATCTTTGTCAATAAAAAATAATAATTTCAAATATAAGAAATTTTCAAGAGGGAAAGGACTACACTGAGCGAATGATGGATAAATTAAGAAAGATTTTTTTTGGGGGGGTATATCCAAAAGCTACGTAAAAATTAATGAGCAATCTTATTGCTATTATTGCTATAATCAAAGGCTTGAGAAAGGAAGAATAACTACACTTTGCTTCTCCAACTTTTTTTTTAGTTTTTGTTTAGTTTTTGTTTCCCTTTGTGAGGTTTTTCAATCTTTCGCTTTCTTGATTCTTATTTTACTCTTTAGTGTGTTACATGTGAGATACTATGATCTCCCTTTGTTTTATTTATTCATTTATGTGGGAATAAATGAGAATAAGGAAATTAAACTAATGGCCAA